TTGTCTTGGAAGGATCATCCGGGAAAGAAACTTCAACATACATACCCGGAACGGGCGCGACAATCCGTTTCATCGGGTTAGTCTGGAAACGATGGCCTTGGACGAAAACATCGGCTAAGAACATGGCATGCCGCCAGGAATATGACGGACCAGCAAGGAGACGCAACCAACGGTCCAAGTCCGGCAGGTCAGCGGTAGGTGAGGAGGACAAGCGGTAGCTGACCTTGTTAGCGTCTTCTGAGATGGTGAGACCGTCAATGTCCGAATCATCAACTTCCTGCTGGAAACGGCCCCCGAAGTATTCGATAACAGGCACTCCGCTATTATCGCCGCCGTAGACATCCTTGATCAGGCTTTCAATATGACCTTGATGAATCCCATTCAGGATGTCCGCAACTGGCTCGTCAATAATGTTCGAGAACTTGGCAGCCATCGGGCCCTGCAGGATACAGGTTCTACCAACATCCTGACCAACAACCGCCTCAAGGTCTTCGCTCTGCCACAGGGAATCCTTCTTGAACCAGTACTCGAAGTTTTCATCCAGAGAGGGGACGAATGGCACTGGTTTTTGACCGCGCCGCTGGCAGAGCAAGAGGAAGTGCTGTACATCTTGAGCGTTGATCAACTGAGATGCCGCTTCTGGATAGGAAGCCAGGATGTTGTCAATGGCTGGGTACGGTGTGTTGAGCTCCGAGTAGTTTTGAAGCAGAGACGGTTGGCCCTCAGTAGTGGTGAATCTTTCTTCAACTCGACGGATAAAATCGCCGGTCAGCTTCTTCAAAGATTCATCAATCCATCTACTCTCATGTTTGACATACATGAGGTCAACCATGCGGTGAACCACTTCAGTGTAAGTCATGTCTTCCAGGTCGACTGTCTCTCCGGCAGCGTTGCGACCGAACCAAACCTTCTGGAAATCGTCGTTGAGCTTTTGGATGATGTAGTTCCGAAGCTTCTTGAGCTCGGGGACACGCTTTGCCTTGTCAAGCTTGAAGATCTTCTGGTCCATTTCATGCCAGAACAGAACACCTCGAGTGGCCAACTTGTGAATAGGCTCACCCATCTCCGAAAGTACAGTGACAACACCACCTGCCGAGCCCTTGTAAGTCTTTTCCCAGTCCTTGTCGTCAAGACCCGGAGCCTCGGCGATGGCCTTCTTAGCGTTCTTGGATGTATGCGCTTCTTTGGAAATCATCATCCGACTACCGAAAAGGCATCCATCAAAAGGCATAGGCGGGTAACCAAAGCCAGAAGACCAGGTACCGGACAGGTAAGGATAGGTATCCTCCGAGCCGCCGAAACCGCTGCCAGCAACCAGAACGATATTCTCGCAGCGCCTGATGCGGCTATACATCTGCAAGATTGGCTGGTGGAAATCTTCAAAGGAGTGGTGTCCACCACCACGTCCACCGGTCCACTGCAGGATGATAGGAAACTTCGGGTTAGCCTTTGCGATATTGATGACTTGCTGAATTGCATCGACGGAGCCCGGCTTGAAGGCGATGTGCTTGATACCCAGTGTTTCAATGTACTCGTTGGCCACTTCGATAGACGGCACACCGGCACCGATGGTCAATCCTTCAATTGGCACGCCCTCAGCCCTCAGCCTGCCAATCAGAGGAATCTGCCAAGCCATAGCCCGGGGGTTAACATAAATCAGGTTGATTGTAATACCACGACCAGGGGGAATCGCCTTTTCAATCTTGTTGACGGCCTCGGTCATTGATTTGGCATTGTAATAACCACCACCAGCAAGCTCAATATGATAGCCTGCGTTCATGGTCGCAGCAACAAAATCCCATGGAACAGTGGTTGGAGTCATTCCGGCAACCATGATGGGAGGGATGCCTAACAGTCGACTCATCTTGGTATCAACGAAGGTTTGCCCCACTGCGTTCTTCACGAGACGTGGTCCATATTCCTTAACCCAGTCAATGGCATACTGAACGGATTGCTCATCGCGGTCGAAGAGCTCAGGCTTGTAGCCAACTTCGGCGTTGGTGCCATCCATAGCACCAGCAAGCACCACGCGGACACCTGTACCATCCTTGTTGCGGTTTGTAAGAACTCCAAGACCGGAGATGCCACCAGGTCCAAAGTCAACAATATGCGTGGCCCCTGAGAAGACAGTTGCCTGCTCCCAATTAACAGCGTCGTGAGTGATCATTCGAACCAGGGCGGGGACGACATTAGCTTCACCGGACTTGCTCAGATCACTGCCAGATTTCGTATCGAAAACCGGAATTGCGAGGGACTCAGCAGGGATCTCAATGTCTTCAAGGTCTTCCAGAATCCGATCATATGCCGGGTATAAGTACTGGCTGTGGAATGGAGCGGTGATAGGAAGGAACCGGTTAACGAAGCGAACTTTACGTTGGGTGTAGGGCACCCGGTTTTGGTCCAGACCTGTCAGCGCCTTGACCTTGCGCAAGCGCAAGTTGAGACCGTAAAGAGAGAGAGGCGGTCCAGTGACAACGAAATTCCGAGCACTGTTAACAAGCGAAATGGAAATATGGCGATCCTCCGGCAGATGCTGGTTCGTAGTGTCAATGTGTTCCTGAACGGCGGATCTTGGGAGGTCTCGGATGGATAACATAGGCGTAGGCGTGCCTTCCCCGTTTTCGATCGAATCCTGAAGGACAGACGGGGCAATGGAAGTGCGAGGATAGGCCTGTTGACTGCGGAGACCAATCCAGAAAAGCATCGTCAAGGCATTCTTGGCGGCCTTGTCGAAACTCTCCCAAGTAGAGGCAGATGCAATTGCTGCAGCTGTTACAACGCCCTGAGAATGGCCAGTGGTTCCACTGAACCTTTCCAGAAGCTCGCCGGGTGTTTTACCCAGGACCTTGCAGGTCACAACAAAGTGCGCCAGCTGAACCAATCCGATCAACGGCAAGCTCACCGGGGCCGACACAAGGTAGTCGGTGTCGGGCTGAGAGTCACGATCCTGAAGCCATTGCATGATATCCAATCCCTTGGAATAAAGTTTGCTGGCTTCCGGCTCATGGGAGAGACTCTGCAGCAATTCCGCAGATGAAGTAATAAGATCGTCGACAAAAGAAGGGTAGGTGGTGTAGATTTCCCTCAGTTCATCAAAGTACTCTTCAATATTCCCCTGTCCTCCGAAAACCGAGTAGATGCTCGCCTTCTCTTCCGAGGCAGCTCGGAACAATGCAGAGTCGTAGGGCTTAAGGGGGCGACCAACTGCTGTTCTCCCAGCGTAATAAGCCTGAACAACCGTAACCTTCTTGGCGGTAATGCCGGGTAGGCTGGCAGCAACAGCGTGGACGTCATTGCCTCTCATAAAGGCGCGTTCAAACTCGTTCAGAGCCAGCTTCAGAACGTCCACATAAGTTCCACTCGCATCATCCTCGCCTTCTTCAACTTCATGTGCAACATGTCCGATGTATCTGGCCACCAGTTCCGGAACTGAGGAAGGCTCATCGTCCTGAGCAAGCTCGTCCGTCGGCTGTGGTAAAGAAGCTGTAAAGGTATCCTTCAATTGCGACGCATGGAAATGAAGAGAGGTCGGCACAAGGAAGGAAAATTCGAGCGACCCATGTGTGAGAATAAGGGGCCTCAATGACTGTGACGAGCGAGGGGTATTAATGCCCGTCTGGGGGCCAGTGGATGTTCCATACATCTCGTGGTCTCGTGTATGTCTCTATTGGTTTGGTCTGGGGTAACGCAATTGGAAAGCCAAGAAATGGCGAAGGTATTATCAACAAGGATATATCGAGAGACTCTGTTATGGATAAGCGTTATGCAAGATCCTAGTAAATTTCGAGCGAGAAATAAAATTGCAATGGCAAGGCTCTGATTGATGGGAGAGGAAAGGCACTTGCGGGGAAGGAATCCGGAACGCGACCACTTTTTTCTTTCAGGGAGGGGAGTGCAAAAGTAGAGTGAAGGTTATGAAAATTAGAACAACTGTTCCCGGGGATCCTACCTAATTCTATCACAAATGGGTCTTTTTTTCGAACAATACTTGATCAAGCCTGGCCGAGTGTCATCGGCTGGTCCACCGTCCACCGATGAAAAGATAGCGGTGTAATGGAGTTATAGGCAGGTTTTAGAGGGGGGGGAAGTATTACAATATGGAAAAAATGGTAAAATAGATCTGAAGAACAAAATGAAGAAGGATCACAATAGAAGGGAAAAAAGGGAGAGAAGGAAGGTGGACTGGTACAGACTGGAGTGGACGGGGTGAACCAGACCTTAATTGGCAAAAAAAAAAGCTGTTCACCACATCCAGGCGATATTTTATTATTACACGTGCAGAGATAGGTGTGGCACTCACACACGCTGCCCACACAACCAGCACCACAACCACAACACACTCTGTTGAACCGGCCGAGCGGAGGCAGAATTCCGCCGGCTTGGGCTGGTTGAATGGGAACTGACCGGATTAGGTATGGTGGGCAAGAGGATCTCCCCAAAGGTCCAAAATGGTTGGGCTGGCCCGTAGGGTTGGATATGACAATACCTGACCACCAATGTACCCTCCCACTCTACCCGGGTTCGTCAAGTAAGTACTCTGATAAATACGTATCTATCTATATATTATGCATCATATCTCCAACGCCTGCCTGCAGCAACGAAGTGTGTGGTATGTAGGTAGTATATAATGATGTCGAAATAGTAGCGATTGTAGTGGTTGTAGTAGCATTAAGGTAGCGTATCTACCTGCATTACATGTATACCTTGCATTCTGAAAGGGAAAGAAAAATAATCATAGTAGAGCTCTCAAAGACCCAGCTACTACATAGACGTTTCGAGGCCTACATCCATGGCCATATAGGCACACCGTAGTCTACATAAAGATATATAATATGCTAAGACGAAAGTATTGCTTCCTTCATAACGCATACTTGAAGTGTATCTAGCCCGTTCCTAGCCTGAACGGAGTCTCTTGTGCTGCTCTCATCTTTATTACTTATGCAAGGACGTCTACTGGGAAATGGGGACCCAGGATCGGTTTAACTGTAATGGGCCAATCAATACTGCTCAAATGCTATCTTAGTACTCACAAACCTTGACGAGTGGCATATATAGTAAAGTAGTTGGTCAATGAAGTACTTCCGTGGTACACTGTTGTAAATGATCGCTAAGCTGTCACTGGTTGAGGGTTTCCGTTTCATACTTGTGAAGCCAAGATGTAGTTAGTGCTGCTACGCATTTCCCAACCATTACCATCTAATCAACTCCAAGAATTCCTAAACAAAGGTTGATTTCCAGACTTGAGATAATATGGAAAGCCAGAAAATGCTGCTGATTGACTATAACAAAGGCACCTACATGTAACATGCTTTGGATATACCTAGAATTTTAGAGACTATACTTTGTATACGTGGAGATCAGGTATCAGCTAAGTCATTTATTACGCGTGGGTAAGAAGAAAAAAAACTTACAGAGCCAGGTTAGCTCAACTTATGATTTGGTTTATCACCAACTTCCATATTTCCGTTTATCATAGTTATTATTATTATTATCATGAGCTCCCATTGGAGGGGAGAAGACGTTCTACCCTGTTCCATTCCAATTTCAATGGCTGTTTCCATGAGTGTTCCCCAAAACGTCCCTACTGGAGTGCATCCATACTCCGTACTCCGTACCGCACGAAAGTAATCTCCCGCCCCAACACTCACCAAAAGCTTCTAGTCCAAAATCCCATCCACCCATAACTGTAAGCCCTCTTCTGTCGGTGCATAGATACCTAGTTTCTTCCAATCTCCCTTTTCGTCTAATAGAATTCATTATTTTACTACTTTATTTTTTTTATTGAGTTTTTTTGTCCTCTATCCCATCCACTTTTCTTTGGGACATCTCGGGCCCAGGGCATCGGCGAATTCTCCCCACCGCCAGTGGCTCCAGGCTGGGGTGAGTACTCTTAATTCCCACCTCTAACAACTTTTTTTCCCTTCCGTTCCAGCATCTTTTTTCCGCTGGCTGGTTGTATGTGCGGTTCAACCAGGAGCCAGGAAACCACCTCTTCTTTCAAGTAATTATTCTTCTCTATTTTGCTGACTGATTCTTGTTCAATTAGAACTGAAACTGTTCAGCCATCATCAACTTATATTATCAGTTTAATTATATTCTATTTCTCCTCTTACCCTAAACCTCATCACTCGATTTCCCTACCGCCGCTGTTCTTCCTGGATTATCTCTCGAGCCGGTTTTTCAAGTCGTATCTTCCCCACCAAATCTGTCGCAATTCCTGATACTGCGACCGCTATTCTCGAACCGCACCGGGGCTCTTTTCTATACTCTTGCCATCCTATTGCCTTGTCTCCTTCAACATGCGGCCCGAAATCGAGCAGGAGCTGGCTCACACTTTGCTGGTTGAACTTCTGGCCTATCAGTTTGCTTCACCAGTGAGATGGATTGAGACCCAGGATGTTATACTCGCAGAGAAGAGGACAGAGCGAATTGTGGAAATCGGTCCCGCAGACACGTTGGGTGGCATGGCGAGACGGACCCTCGCATCAAAATATGAGGCATACGATGCTGCTACTTCCGTGCAGCGTCAAATACTTTGCTACAACAAGGATGCAAAGGAGATCTATTATGATGTCGATCCCGTAGAGGAGGAAGAAGCGCAACCATCGGCAGAGGCTGCGGCCAGTGCCCCTGCTGCTGCCCCTGCTGGTGCTCCTGCCGTCGCAGCTGCTCCCGCAGCTGCTCCTCCACCTAGTGCCGGCCCTGCAGCAGCAATCGAGGACGCACCGGTTACGGCTGTGGATGTGCTGAGGACTCTGGTCGCGCAGAAGTTGAAGAAGAGCTTGTCCGATGTGCCCTTGAGTAAAGCCATCAAAGATCTGGTTGGCGGTATGTATTTGCCATCTCATCTGCCTCTACATCATTGCAAATGGATATTGATTTGTTTCTCTTTCGCTACCAGGTAAATCCACTCTGCAGAACGAGATTCTAGGAGATCTCGGAAAGGAATTCGGTTCGACACCCGAGAAACCGGAAGACACACCTCTAGACGAGCTAGGCGCATCTATGCAGGCGACATTCAATGGACAACTTGGCAAGCAGTCTTCATCCCTTATTGCTCGTCTGGTCTCGTCGAAGATGCCCGGTGGCTTCAACATTACCGCAGTTCGCAAATACCTTGAGACGAGATGGGGTTTGGGATCTGGTCGTCAAGATGGCGTCCTTCTCCTTGCTCTCACCATGGAGCCACCCTCCCGTATTGGCTCTGAGGCTGAGGCCAAGTCGTACCTCGATGATGTTGCCAACAAATACGCTGCCAGCGCGGGCATCAGCCTCTCGGCACCGGCAGCTGGTGGTGATAGCGGGGCAGGTGGTGGCGGCATGCTCATGGATCCGGCTGCGATTGATGCCTTGACCAAGGACCAGCGGGCATTGTTCAAGCAGCAGCTGGAGATAATTGCGCGTTACTTGAAGATGGACCTACGCGCTGGTCAAAAGGCTTACATCACTTCCCAGGAGTCTCAGAAAACATTGCAAGCACAGCTGGACCTTTGGCAAGCTGAGCATGGCGATTTCTATGCCTCTGGTATCGAGCCGGCTTTCGATGCCCTGAAAGCACGCGTGTATGATTCTTCCTGGAATTGGGCACGCCAGGATGCTTTGAGCATGTACTACGACATTATTTTCGGCAGACTCAAAGTTGTGGATCGTGAAATTGTGAGCCAGTGTATTCGTATTATGAACCGTTCAAACCCACTGCTTCTTGAGTTCATGCAGTACCACATTGACAACTGCCCTACCGATAGGGGCGAGACATATCAGTTGGCCAAGGAACTTGGTGAGCAGCTTATCGAAAACTGCAAGGAAGTCTTGGGTGTCGCCCCTGTGTACAAGGATGTCGCCGTGCCTACCGGACCCCAGACTACTGTCGATGCCAGAGGAAACATCGGGTACAAGGAGGTTCCCCGGGCTAGCGCTCGCAAGTTGGAACACTACGTGAAGCAAATGGCGGAGGGTGGCCCCATCTCTGAGTACAGCAACCGCACGAAGGTTCAGAATGATCTTCGCAGCGTCTACAAGTTGATCCGCAGACAGCATCGCTTGTCCAAGTCGTCGCAACTTCAGTTCAATGCTCTCTACAAGGAAGTTATTCGTGCTCTCAGCATGAATGAGAACCAGATCATGCCCCAAGAGAATGGGTCTGGCAAGAAGACCGGCAGGAATGGTGTCAAGCGCAACGGTAGCCCCCGCGCAGGCAAAGTGGAGACCATCCCCTTCTTGCATCTCAAGAAGAAGTCCGAACACGGTTGGGATTACAACAAGAAACTCACCGGTATTTACCTGGACGTACTGGAATCTGCTGCACGGTCAGGTCTCACCTTCCAAGGCAAGAACGTCTTGATGACTGGCGCAGGCGCAGGTTCCATTGGAGCGGAAGTGCTGCAGGGCCTGATTAGTGGTGGTGCCAAGGTGGTTGTCACGACAAGCCGATACTCTCGTGAGGTCACTGAGTACTACCAGGCCATGTATGCCCGCTATGGTGGCCGTGGCTCACAGCTTGTTGTGGTGCCTTTCAACCAAGGTAGCAAGCAAGATGTGGAAGCACTTGTCGACTATATTTACGACTCAAAGAAGGGTCTCGGCTGGGACTTGGACTTCGTTGTTCCATTTGCCGCCATTCCTGAGAATGGACGTGAAATCGACTCCATTGACTCGAAGTCTGAACTGGCTCACCGCATCATGTTGACAAACCTCTTGCGACTTTTGGGTTGTATCAAGACGCAGAAGCAGAGCAACGGTTTTGAAACCCGTCCCGCTCAAGTCATCCTCCCCTTGTCTCCTAACCATGGTACATTCGGAAACGATGGTCTTTACTCTGAGTCTAAGCTGGCTTTGGAAACACTCTTCAACCGCTGGTATTCTGAGAACTGGAACAACTATCTGACCATTTGTGGTGCCGTAATTGGGTGGACCCGGGGTACAGGTCTCATGAGCGGCAACAACATGGTTGCTGAAGGTGTTGAGAAGCTCGGTGTCCGGACATTTTCCCAGCAAGAGATGGCTTTCAACTTGCTTGGTCTCATGGCGCCTGCGATTGTCAATTTGTGTCAGCTTGACCCTGTCTGGGCCGACCTTAATGGCGGTCTCCAATTCATCCCTGATCTGAAAGACCTCATGACGAAGCTTCGCACGGAAATCATGGAGACAAGCGATGTTCGCCAGGCAGTCATCAAAGAGACTGCAATCGAAAACAAGGTCGTCAATGGAGAGGATAGTGAAGTCCTCTATAAACGAGTGATTGCTGAGCCTCGTGCCAACATCAAGTTCCAGTTCCCTAATCTGCCTAACTGGGAGGAAGATGTGAAGCCGCTCAACGACAACCTGAAAGGCATGGTCAACCTGGACAAGGTCGTTGTCGTCACCGGATTTTCGGAGGTCGGACCCTGGGGTAACTCTCGCACGCGCTGGGAGATGGAGGCTTATGGCAAGTTCTCCCTTGAAGGATGTGTCGAGATGGCTTGGATCATGGGCCTTATCAAGCACCACAACGGTCCATTGAAGGGTAAGGCCTACTCAGGATGGGTCGACGCGAAGTCTGGGGAGCCTGTGGATGATAAGGATGTGAAGCCGAAGTACGAGAAGTTCATCCTTGAACATTCCGGTATCCGGCTTATTGAGCCGGAATTGTTCAAGGGCTATGACCCTAAGAAGAAGCAGCTGCTTCAGGAAATTGTCATCCAGGAAGACTTGGATCCGTTTGAAGCTTCGAAGGAGACAGCAGAGGAATTCAAGCGTGAGCATGGCGAAAAGGTGGAGATCTTTGAATTGCCGGAGTCTGGCGAGTACACTGTGCGTCTGAAGAAGGGAGCCACTCTCTTGATCCCGAAGGCCCTTCAGTTCGACCGCCTTGTTGCTGGTCAGATCCCTACTGGCTGGGATGCTAAGAGATACGGTATTCCTGACGATATCATCGAACAAGTTGATCCAGTCACGTTGTTCGTCCTTGTCTGCACTGCTGAGTCTTTGCTTTCAGCTGGTATTACCGATCCGTATGAGTTCTACAAGTACGTTCACTTGTCTGAGGTCGGAAACTGCATTGGCTCGGGTATCGGTGGTACCCACGCGTTGCGGGGAATGTACAAGGACCGCTACCTGGACAAGCCTCTTCAGAAGGACATTCTGCAGGAATCCTTCATCAACACGATGAGTGCCTGGGTCAACATGCTTCTCTTGTCCTCCACTGGCCCGATCAAGACTCCAGTTGGTGCATGCGCCACTGCAGTCGAATCTGTTGACATTGGTTACGAGACGATTGTGGAAGGAAAGGCTCGCGTCTGCTTTGTTGGAGGATTCGATGATTTCCAAGAAGAAGGGTCTTATGAATTCGCCAACATGAAGGCGACCAGCAATGCCGAAGATGAGTTTGCCCATGGTCGCACCCCGCAAGAAATGTCGCGGCCCACCACTACCACTCGTGCTGGATTTATGGAGTCTCAGGGTTGCGGTATGCAACTCATTATGAGTGCCCAGCTTGCTCTGGACATGGGTGTGCCGATCTATGGTATTATTGCTCTGACAACCACGGCTACTGACAAGATCGGTCGCTCTGTTCCCGCTCCCGGTCAAGGAGTTCTTACCACCGCTCGCGAGAACCCTGGCAAGTTCCCATCTCCTTTGCTGGACATCAAGTACCGTCGCCGTCAGCTTGATCTGCGTAAGAAGCAGATCAAGGAATGGCAAGAATCCGAGTTGCTGTACCTCCAAGAAGAAGCCGAGGCTATGAAAGCCCAGGCCTCTGATGATTCTTTCGACGTCTCCGGTTACCTCCAGGAGCGCGCTCAACACATTGAACGCGAAGCAATCCGCCAGGAGAAGGATGCCCAATACAGCCTTGGAAACAACTTCTGGAAGCAGGATTCCCGTATCGCTCCTCTCCGTGGTGCTCTCGCCACCTGGGGTCTGACTGTTGATGATATCGGCGTTGCCTCCTTCCACGGTACTTCTACTGTCGCTAATGACAAGAATGAATCGGACGTCATTTGCCAGCAGATGAAGCACCTGGGTCGGAAGAAGGGCAACGCCCTTTTGGGTATCTTCCAGAAATATCTCACCGGACATCCCAAGGGTGCTGCTGGTGCCTGGATGTTCAACGGCTGTCTACAGGTTCTTGAAAGTGGTCTGGTTCCTGGCAACCGCAACGCTGATAACGTGGACAAGGTGATGGAGAAATTTGACTACATCGTTTACCCGAGCCGCAGCATCCAGACTGACGGTATCAATGCCTTCTCCGTCACTTCATTCGGTTTCGGCCAGAAGGGTGCACAGGTTATCGGTATTCACCCCAAGTACCTCTACGCAACCCTGGATCGGGCACAGTACCAGACCTACAAGGCCAAGGTCGAGGCGAGACAGAAGAAGGCATACCGCTTCTTCCACAACGGGCTGATCAACAACAGCATCTTCGTCGCTAAGGACAAGGCTCCTTACGAAGATGCCCAGCAAAGCAAGGTTTTCCTCAACCCTGATTACCGTGTGGCTGCCGACAAGAAGACTTCGCAACTCAAGTTCCCTGCTCAGCCCCCAAAGGCTAATGACAAAGGACTTGAGAGCACAAAGACTATGATCGAGTCGCTGGCAAAGGCCAATGCTTCTGAAGACTCGAAGGTCGGTGTGGACGTGGAGAACATCGAAAGTTTCAACATCGAAAATGAAACCTTCATTGAACGGAATTTCACCGCAAGCGAGCAAGAATACTGCCAAAAGGCAGCGTCTCCTCGATCATCCTTTGCAGGCCGGTGGAGTGCCAAGGAGGCTGTTTTCAAGGCCTTGGGTGTCAGCAGCAAGGGCGCAGGTGCCCCCCTTAAGGACATTGAGATCTCAAGTGATTCAACCGGGGCGCCCGTCGTCAACGTAAGTACTACCTTGTAAATGCCCCGCTTATAGGAATTTCCGACTAACTTGAGATTCAGCTTCACGGTGCTGCAGCTGAAGCTGCCAAGCAGGCTGGCGTCAAACAGGTCAGCGTCAGCATTAGCCACAGTGATACCCAGGCAGTCGCGGTCGCGGTCTCCAAATTTTAATGCGCTGATGAGGAATAATGGCCTGAATTTATGTCATGTACCTTGAGTGTAATCTATCATGTCTCTTCCCTAGCCTCGTTAGACAGTATTAGATTGTCAATACATAACGTGTCTGGTTCCAATACTTGTCCAATAATTCACTTATCAACCTCTCTTCATGTTTGTTGCACTGATTCATTTAAGAAGTTCGATGGTGGGTTGCTGACCTCAGCGAACGCCTCAACTCCCAACTCGGCGGTTTAGAGGAATGTATTGATTTTAATTTATAAGTATTTCAAAAAATTTACACTGATAGACTTCAAACCTTTCTAAACTGATATCAGGAGACGAAATAACAACGAAGTGCAGTTATGGCGGATGATAAGTATCTACAATCACACTCAATAAATGCGCAGTTCAGTATTTCAACATAGATTAATCCGTATAATTGAACTTAATATCTACTTGCCTCCGGATGCTCGGCTCAGAGGACCCCAGTTCTCACGAGGATTAATTTGATACCGCACCAGTCGCTTCTTGGCCGTCTCCCTACCCAAGGCCTCATCGAATACAACCTCCAGCGTGCTAGGGTGCGGTCTGCCTGCACCATTGGGGCTACGGGGAGGCTTTGTGTCCTGGAGATCCTTCTGCGTTGTTCCCGGCTGTTCACGCGGAGGATCAGATTCCCTTCTCTTCCTCCCCAACGCTTGACGGGCACCGGAGCGATACAAGGCAGCTTCAATTTTGGTAATCATATCTTTGACATCTTTTGCTTCCTCTGTGACTGCTTGAAGCTCGGTCTTGAGAAGCGCCAGAGACGGGTCTTCCCCCTCACGGCCTTGAATGTTCTCCCTGCTCTTGGACATAATGACAGCGCCGGGACTTCCGGGCTTTAGGGCGCCTTCTCTGATGGGAGACTTCTGTCTCACCCATTCCCTCATGATCTCCCAGATCACCTCCCAAGGAGCATCGGTACGAATCGTATTCGGTCTGGCGTGGCTGCGGGTTGATCGATAGCCAAGGTGTCGAATAGCCCCACGCATGGCATCAATGGAAATTGTGGATGTATGCAAGACTTTGGATAAGGCGCTAAGACTGAAGTAGAAGGGGTATTCTTCCCGGGCGGCGGGATCGAGCCGCGGGATGATTGCAGAGTATTCGTTCTCGGAGATATCCCCACCAACTGTGCCAGTAGGTGTCTGGTTTGCTTCGTCACTAGAAATTCCTAGATTCAGATCTTCTTCCATTGCCGTAGTCAGCATTCCCTCAATCCGGTCAATCGTGTGATACACGTTCCTATCTGCCTGGGGGAGCATATCAAGGATTCTGCGGATAAATTGTGCATTGTGAAGAGGGCCAGCCCACATAGGACCGCTGAGGTGAGTCCTAGAGCCACAATGGCCACAACGACTATCTGCTACCGGACCCTGAGCGAAGCCGAAGTGGTAGAACGGATTTCCTTTCTTGTCCAGCTTCTGTTTCGTCTGGGTGATAGGCTGAGTTGACCACGCGCCACAGCCAGCATCGCAATTATAGACCATCATCATGTTTCCAGAGATATACTTGACTTCGGCCGGAGAGCGGTGGACACGGACGAAGACTCGGGCATAAAAGTCGATCGATAGGGAGAGAAGTGGCTCAATCGCGAGACCATATTTCGCAGCGGAGGCTGCAAGCCCGTGCAGGATGAGACGCAGGCCACCTTCATGGCAATGCGGTCCTTTGACTGGGATTCCGCCGTATAGGGCGAACGACTTCTCGGGATACCCGTACGAGGCCCAGACACCTGCATCGGTACAGGTAACACAAAGAAGACCGCCATCCTTGACTCCCTGAACCGCAGCGTCCATAAAAGGTGCAGCAGAGCCGTAAGGGTCCAGATCAATCACGTCGAATTTTCCTAGGTGGCTCTCGGCAGTTGGGGTATTGGCTTGTTGGTTTAGAAGACTGTACATGTAAGAGCGCGCATCCCCGGTGTTGGGACGGATTTTTTCGCCGAGACTGTTGTATTTGATGTTCGTCTTCATGGATTCAATGGCCGAGGGCGACAGGTCGTTTGCGACGACGCAAGAAGTGAAAGGTATCTCCGAAGCATATCGCAGGGCACGCAGACCCGTAGCCGAGAGGGCGTCTAGAATCGTAAAAGATGGCGCCGTGTCCTGCTCTGCCTGCTGTGCTGCAGTCTGATCCCCTTGGCCTTGATTCTGATCCTGCGTTTGTTCCTTGCCATCGACCTCTTCTCTCTTGCGTTTCTTGCCCTTCGCGGAGTCGTTCGCCGCAGCCTTTTGCTTCTTCTTCTCGGCCTTCTGTTTCTTCAAGGCCAGCAAATGCTCCCCATATGCGCGAATGGCAAGGACACTAAGGTCCCGGTTGAATTGTTGAATAGGGTTGTAGAAGACTGATTGCGATTGCTCGTCAGCTTTGCGATCCCTTTTCGTACCGGGAGCCTGAGCCGGGGGGTTCAGAATGTACGCCAATCCTTCCTTCACTGCTCTGTACTCAGTGCCGTCATACTGTATCAATTGTTCAGCCATCTCCGCAGCCGATGAGCGGGTAGAGTAGAATCGGCGGAGTGGCGGGCGTTGTTGGATTCCTAGGGCGGTGCAGCGGGCAATTGCGCGATCACTGCGGAATCTGAAACTGATTGAGAGAGCACGATAAAGGACACCAAGGTGTGGGCTCATGGACCCGGACTCTGTAATCGACCTGTTGGTGACTTGGTTCTGGGCTAGGCAATGAATGAACCGCGAGTCCTTTCGTCTTTTTTGGCTTGTCGGAAACTTTTTTTTTGACTTCCGCCCGCCAACTTTCCGATCAGTCAAGCACGGACCACTCCCTACTATCTACCACATAATTAGTTAACTATAAACTCATTTCATTCCGTCTTCCCATTCGATCGGCGCTGTCATTAACATTAAGTCTTGCTTCTTGCTTACTATACAATCATATCGGCCGTTACTCCCGTGTCAAAAGAATTATCTTTGTCCAATGAATTGGGTCAGAGCCAGGACCCAATAACGGGGACCTGGCTGTAGATCTCATTCCATCCCTTGGCCTCCCAGCCATAACCCTGCCCCGTACGCCCGATGATTCCCAGGGCACCTGCAAGCCATATGGATGCTCCCACCGCGGCAATGCCGTTGACCGTCCACCACATCTTCCTCTGTCGGCGGAGTCGTTGCTCACTTTCCGAGGCTCCCAGATAACCCTCTAGGGAGCCTTTCTTTCGGTCACGTTCCTTCCGGACCGTTGTCACTCTCCAGCCCATCCATGCAGCCCAGCCGCCGACGAAGTGCCACACCCCAACGGCGACGAATAACAAATAGTACAGATTCCAGAGTGCGGGGGCCCGTGCAAAGCCGTGGGCCACATAACCCAGCCCGACTCCCGAGCTTCCCCCATCAACCATCAACGGAGTGATGCGGTTGACGAGCACATGGACGCCGAGTAACGGAACTAAGGAATATCCTAACCGAGCTTGGAGGCTCATCCGAGGCCAAAACGTCAAGGAGTGTCTCTGTGACCTTGTCTCGGCGCCATAGAGTCGAGCCCGCCGTGCGGAGCGGATGTTGCGCAAAGCAATTCCAGACGCAATATGAATCAGAACAGGCGCGGTCAGAACGAGATGTTCGAGGCCCGGAGATTGATAGACGGGTCTGGTGAGAAGCAGGAAGCTCTCGCTGTCGGGCACAGATCGAGTAGCCAGAGGGATGAGAGAGGTATTGGCCCAATGCAATGCAAAGAATAGGGTCGGTGGATACGTCGAGTATCGTTGGAACGCAGATACTGGAGAATTTGAGGCCACTGTTAGCTTCTAGGAAAAGAGTAAATTCTTGCTATTATCACAATAGCTTGCATATACTTAGCCATACACCAGGAATCCCAACTATGTCCGCGAAGGCCTAACTTGAGCGACGAGAACCGACCACCCCCGGCGATGGGCTCGCGTGCCGATGGCGGACTTGGTTCTCTGGGGAAGTAGTCACCAGATTCAAGGTCTGGAAACTCATCTTGTACTGGTGATGGGTCTAACTCTTGCATTGAAAATATGGAGCGCGTTTCGATATCCTCTGGTTTGGATGGCATGCTTTCTTTCGAGGCAGCCATGGCTCAAAAAAAAACAGCACCCGGCTACCAGGTGCTATGTTATGTATGTCCGCGCCAGGAGCCAGAACTAGGGCTGGTCGAATATTGCGATCAAACCGGTTGCGATGGGATTATCTGGACTCAAAGCATGGTCGTTGAACAACAATTCCTCGCTGTAATTTGGGAAAGCAGATTTCCTTGGAACTTGATCCCATCGACACTTTCTTGGTAAAGAACTGCTAGGCGATGATCTGCCGTATTAGAGGCCTCATGATTGGCCCGCTATGGTCGACCTCCGTAGTCACGGTATTGCACCGGTATTGACGGTATCTTATCGAACACCGGTTCAAGCTCCCTCTCCCGCGGGCGGTGGTTTTCTTTCGGCAGAAAGTATCAACCTCGATGCGAAGTCGCCGATATACAACAACTACAGGCTCAAACCATCATTGCTCAGCGAGCAAGCAGCAAACCCCCAGACCCGTACACACGCTTTTTCGCTGTTTGCGGCAAACGTTTCAAAGCGATTCTGCGTACTCCTCATAGAACGATGGCGCCTGCAAGTGCCCAGATTCCGAACATCCCCCCTATTAAAGATGCTATATATTTCCATAGCAACAAGTTCCCATATCTTGCAAGGCTGACCAATGCGTCTCTATATACAGCGAGGCTTTACCAATCCCACTCCCAAGGTGCGATTCAGGGCTTAGATTAATGAGTTTCAGAGATATGAAGACTCGTGCTTCCAGGCTAACTAAGGACCACCGCATCTCAAACTAGACCGAATCTGCGCGTTCCGCTCTGAGCTCCTTCACCTGCACGCTCTGCAACAAGTCCTATTCTCGCCATCCAGAATATGAGGCTCATATTTCTTCATATGACCATCAACACCGCAAGCGTCTTCAAGACCTCAAACAATTATCTCGGGACCCCAATGCCGCCGAGAAGGCCAGAAGAGCCGAACGGAAGGCTGACGCCGAGGCCGGGTTAAGGGTCCTCGACACCCCCAAAGCTGCCTCATTATCGACTACGGGAACTGGATCTGGAGTAGGGAGCAGTACGGGAGGTGGGGGAGGGTTCAAAAAGGGGGGGTTCAAAAGTTCCTTTACCACTGTCAAAGGACCTGTGGCTCCTGCTGCTCCCACGAAGAAAAACGTCCTAGGCGGTGACGATGAAGACAGTGAACTTCCAGAAGCAGATGATGAGAGTCTGCGGCGCGCTCGGAGCCAATCGTCAAAGCGCGAAAACATGCAGGTTGATCAGGCGGAGAGCGATACAGATGAAGAATACGACCGGAATAGAGGCATGAATGGGGGGTATTACAATCCTCGAAATCCCACCGGTTGTTCCCCTGCATGCGCTGGTGCTAGGAACGTTCCCTTAGAGACATCCTTTATCTGAAGGAGCACCACGCGGAGCACAGTACGGATATGGCGATCACAACGACTATGTGCTGTGACGTCAAATGGCCGATCACTATCCCTGTTTCCTTTCCTCAAGACTTGATGAGACCATTACGTATGTGGAGAATGCTATCCAGAAGCAAGACATTACAGGCATGGAGGTAGCTTTCAACCGTCTTTCTCCTATGCCGAGGTCGATCACCTGGGAATAGCAACTGCACCGGAGGAGCAAGCCCAAATTCACTGCGGGCTCGTTCGTGGTGGCATACGCCAAACATGAGCAAAGCCAGATGCGATTTTAAGATGTTACGAAAGAATACAACCATGCCCGAGCACATTAGCTTCTCTAAGAATGCAGAATAACGTTGATTGTGTTGTATAGTCGTACAAGATCAGGAAAGTGGGAGAACGAGGTAATATGAGGAAATAGGAGAAATGGCTGTAACAATGATAGGGTACTAGACACATGATTTTATTAATTCAGATTTTCTTCACCGTCGGTTCATACACAACGGCTCATCCTTTACAGGCGCAACAGCTTGGCAGCCTGGCTGACAATGGTGTCCTCCTGGGGGAAGCTCATGTTCTCGAGACCAACGGCATAGGGGGTGGGGACCTCGGCGCCAGTGACACGGACGGCAGGAGCAGTCAGGTAGTCGAAACCGTACTCCATGGAGAGAGCGAGGATCTCAGAGGAGACACCGAACATGGGGAAACCGGACTCGACGCACATGATGCGACCAGTCTTCTTGAGCGACTGGATGATGGTCTCAACGTCGAGGGGCTTGACGGAACGAAGGTTGATGACCTCAGCGTCAACACCGTACTTCTGCTTGAGCTGGGCAGCAGCGTTGAGCGAGTGTCCAACGCAGCGGGAGAGGGTGACAATGGTCAAGTCCTTTCCGGGGCGCTCAATTTTGGCCTTGCCAATAGGAAGAACAAAGTCATCCTTCTGAGCGGCCTCGCTCATAGGGAAAGCCTGACCGTACAGCAGCCTATGCAATTATTGTCAGGTTCAAAAACATTCCACAAATACTCCGATACTTCCACGGGGGCCACGTACTCGTTCTCAAGAACAACGACGGGGTTAGGATCGCGAATGGCAGCCTTCAACAGACCCTTGGCATCCTCCGAGCTCCAGGGAGCGACAACCTTCAGACCAGGGATACTGCCGTACCAAGCGGAGTAGTCCTGGGAGTGCTGGGCGGCAACACCAGCGGCGAAACCGTTCGGTCCACGGAAGGTGATGTTGCAGGGCTGGATACCACCAGACATGTAGTGGGTCTTGGCAGCAGAGTTGATGACATGATCGATAGCCTGCATGGCGAAGTTGAAGGTCATGAACTCGCACTAAATATCGACAGCAAGTCTTAGTATACTGTGCACTTTGCATCTGATGAACCTTAAATATCCAAAGGGATATACAAAGGTCACAAATCGGGGAACTCACAATGGGGTGCAGTCCAGCAAGAGCAGCACCGACGGCGAGACCACAGAAACCGGCTTCCGTGATGGGGGTGTCAATAACCCGCTTGGGACCGAAGCGGTCCAACAGACCCCTCGTTACCTTGTAACTATAGGAGAGCGAATTCAGATATGCGATCCATGGACTGCAGCCAATTCACACGGGGGACAGGGTGCCATACGCTCCGTTGTACTGCGCAACCTCCTCTCCAAGAATGAAAGTCTTCTTGTTGCTCTCCAGCTCCTCGGCGAGCGCCTCGTTCAGAGCATCACGGACAGTGACCTCCTTGGTTCCAGATTCCGTAGCATATCCCCGGAAGCGAAGAATTGAGGGCGCGCATGCGGTCTGAGGGCGAAGGGGAGCCGAAGTAAGGCGCGAAGAAAGCAGACGAGCTGCTGGGCGGAAAAGTCGGGGAGCAGCCATGGCCGGACTGTGAGATATATAATATAAGAAGAAGAAGGGGGAGAAGAAAAAGCAAGAGTAAAGGAAAGGAGAATTACTTCGCGGAAATACCGGTCTGTTAGACAATTGGTATCAAAGGAAGAAAGAACAGCCGATGGGGAGGCTCGTCACTTTTTTTCGGGGGTTCGGGGAATCTTTTTCGTCGACGAGGTTTCGGCGGAAGGTTGGTTTTTGGTGAGAAGCTTCGAAGGGACTTGTTGGGCTTAGCGCTGACTAAGCCGTGTTGCGGTTTTGCTCTTTCCTGACGGTCTCACCGGTCGCCTCCTTCCGTAGCCTCCGTTCTGTCTCTCCCTGGCGTCTCGTCGGGATCTTTCCCTCCGATAAGCACTTCTGGGTCCTCCTTCCTATCTATCTAGTATCTAAACTATCCCGTCTACTCCGGACTTAGTGCCTATTCGTGAAGCTTGGTGTCGGTGCGTAAACCATCAAGGTACTTACTTATTCATCTACCACCACGGTTGTTGCCTGGCTAACTGATATAACTCTCTTTCCATCCTTCTCGTATTTAGAGAGAGAGAGAGAGAGAGTCCACTTGCGCGTGTCATTCGTTACGTTACTGCTCGTTGTCAATCAGTACTACTGCTTCGTATTTAGATATTCAATCCACTATATCTGCTACTATTTCCGTCAATAACGTCCCCGACGGAGCATGAGCATGAGCATGTCCAGCAACTACTATCTGCTCTTCTCTGCATCCGTGACCTTCCTTCTTTTCTTTCTGTCCCCCTTCGTCCGTGCTGTACAACCGACCGCGCCCGAGCCTATCGAGGCTCCTTTGCGTGACCTGAAATGGGGCCAGCTCAATTTTCTTCACACCACAGATACTCATGGCTGGCTAGCTGGTCATTTACAAGAGTATGGCGCTGAAGTCTTCTTCGGAGCCATTTCCAGGCCTTACTGATTTCCAATCCCTTATAGACCCTCGTACTCCGCTGACTGGGGTGACTATATCTCCTTTGCTACCCGCATGCGCGAGAAAGCAGAGTCTATGGGTGTGGATCTACTAGTCATTGATACCGGCGATAGAGTAGAAGGAAATGGACTTTACGACTCATCGGATCCCAAAGGCATCTACATCTCTAAAATTCTGCGAGAGCAGCATATCGACCTGATGTCATCGGGCAATCATGAGTTGTATAAGGAATCCACAGCTTCAGCCGAGTTCTTTACCACTACACTCAATTTCGCCGGACATTATCTTGCATCAAACATCGACTTCTATGACCCACGGACAAACGCATTCAGGCCATTGGCACCTCGCTTCACGAAGATCGTCACCAAGCAATTGGGCATCCGCATAGTGGCCTTTGGATTTCTCTTCGATTTCAAAGGAAATGCTAACAACACCGTCGTGCGGCCTGTGGGTGAGACAATCAAGGAGGCGTGGTTTCAGGAAGCTATCAGGGACCACGAGGTGGACCTCTTTTTGGTAATCGGCCATGCCCCCGTACACTCGGAAGAGTATTGGGACATATGGCGAGAAATCAGGTCGCTTCGCTGGAGTACACCCATCCAATTCTTTGGCGGCCATTACCACATCCGTGATTACGCAAAGTATGATCGTATGTCCTACGGCTTGGCCAGCGGTCGCTTCATGGAAACGATCGGTTTTATGTCCATTAGTGGCCTCTCTACCCACCGTCAGCCCGGACAGTCCGCCTTAGCGTCTTCCCTTTGGCCATGGGACCGTTTCCATTTCAATCGGAAATATATCGATAACAACTTATTGTCATTCTATCATCACACTGGCCTGAATGAGACCACATTCCCCACGGAACATGGACAAAACGTATCCCGACTCATTCAAGAATCCCGAAGCGCTCTTCAGCTGGATGAAGTGTACGGGTGTGCCCCACACGATCTCTTTATGTCCCGAGCAAAATATCCAGGTGAGGGTAATATTTATACCTGGCTGGAGACAGAAGTGCTACCCCTATCCGTGAGAGATGTATCTCGTGCTGGGAAGCCAGCAGTTGTTATAGTCAACACCGGTGCCATCCGCTTCGACATCTTTAAGGGCCCTTTTACAAAGGATAATACATATATCGTCTCCCCATTCACAAGCGGCTTCCGTTATGTGAAAGATATCCCTTACTCCCGAGCCTACTATCTCGCCGATGTGCTAAATAGGGGACCGGGAATCTTGACTGAGGGCCCCCAATTAGACAAGTTGACTTGGCAGCTTGCTCCCCCGGAGCAATCAGCGTATACCCGTGGTGTATTTGGCAACAGTGGTGGCCGATCAAGCGCTGGCTTCCTTACCAACCAAGTCCCGTTCCTGAGTAGTGGATATGCTGAGCCTGACTTAATTCCCGGGTACACTACCCATGATGATGGAGGCAATGATGGTGATGACACCATTCACTCGCCGATCGACTTCTTCCGGGTGCCGAATGTTATCAGGGGAACACCTCGTTGGGATGCATCTGAACCCCCGGAAACAGTAGACCTGGTCTATATTGATTTCATTGAGTCTAACGTGGCTGCAGTGGCCCCATTCGCGGGAATTAATGCAGATTTTTCTCGCGACAGCGACGTCTATATGCCAAACACAACATTGACTGGCTTGATAATGGACTGGATAAAAGGCAACTGGCCCTGCGAGGAGGTATGAGCGTTCACCGCGAATCGCCTTTAAGTTGGTGGCTGGCGTATACATGCAAATTGTGCTAGACGACCAATGGGCTACTATTCTCTTAGATGTGTTCTTACTATTGAGCGCACAAGCAATGAAACTAGCTGAGTTCTAGATAGAGAATACTAGTTGGTATGTTGGGGTTTCCCACTTGACTGGCAGAAATAGCCATGGATAAAATATAGTAGCTATCCATCAACCGAAGTCGTTCGACAGCCAAGAAAGCGTACTGTACAGATTCAGATTAACCGGAACTCCCGAGTTTGAAGATTAGCTTTCACCTAGTTCATTCCTGTTCCTCGTACCTGAGCAAGCCCTTGCCGCTGCGGTAACCGCTGAGGGTTTCCTGCACGCCTGCTACGAGCTCGGAGCCCTCCGTGTCCCACTTCCATTTGAACTCCTCAACTGGAATATCCTTAAATCTACCAGCCCGTGTCAGCTGCAATACATCATTGATGGTATTTTCCTTCAGCTGTGGATTCTTGTCACCCCATTTGCTGACCCAGAAGCCATCGAAAACGAGGTTCTTGAAGATCAACAATCCCGACGGCAGAGAAACTGGCTGCTTCGACATGGCCCCATAGGTGACCAGATGCGAACCTGGTGCGAGTGTTTTTGCCAGTGCGGTGGCACTCTTTCCACCCACACAGTTCAAAGCGAGGCGGATGGGCTCCTGCCCCTTGCGCGTGAGCTCATGTACAACGTTCCTGAATTCGCCTGAAAGCAATTCGGCCTCTGTGACTACCGCAGTCGCACCGAGATCTGTAAGTTCTTTCTTCAGAGCCTCTGTCTCCTCTGGAGTCTTCCGTTCCCGGACGACGTTGAGGGTCTTGATACCCCACTCTCGCGCAAGTTGAATAGCAGCGCGTCCAACACCGCTGTTTGCCCCGTTCTGGATCAACCAGTGTTCTCCAGCACGCATCCAGTCCCAGTCGCAGAAGTCTTTGATCATGCGGTAAGCTGTCACTGGGTTGACGCTAACAGTACTGATCTGAAGTGGGGTCAAGCCGTCCTTGTTTTCAATCTTGATTAACTGCGATTCATCCAGCTGAGCGTGAGTGCGCCAGGTGCCCTGTCCAGTCTGTTTCATGACAACCCAGTCACCCTTGCTGAGGGTTTTCACTCCAGAGCCGGTGGACAAGACCTCGAATGCGCCCTCATTTCCAGCGACAGCCGCCGGCTCCTGTGTACCGAGTGTCGATTGGAACGGTGGCTTGCTCGGGTATACACCCTGGATCTGATTCACGTCGGCAGGATTCAGCGGCGCAGCAAGCAGGCGAAGGTTGACTTGAGTACCATGAGGCGCGGAGATGGAGTGTTTGTGAAGCCTGGATGGCTGTCAGATGCCTCGTTCCCAAGTGCAATAGCCGGGTCACCGAAATACAGCATTGGACGCGGTGCGAAGACTTACTGCAGAACGTCCTTCGGCTCTCCGTAGCGCGAGTAGATGAGAGCCTTCGATTGCGTATACCCGTAGACTGAAATCCATCTTCTATCCCCAACCTGAGTATCAGGGTATAATCCCCGCAATTGGCGCTTGCTCACTGAGGCTAATTGCGATGCAGCTCCGATTCTGATGGAGCACGCAGTGTGGCTTCCGGAAGCCCTCACGGCAGACCGAATCATACCTCCAGAAATCATTGTAACCACGATATACTGGTATAGTCAAATGAACCTGGTGAAATGAGGGAGAAGATGAGGTTTTTACAACGATGCAGTCGCAAGGAAATTCCTGATGACGTCGTCCCTACAGCCCTCGGGCCGACGGAGGTGAAGACGCCGATTCGGGTATTCATTTTGGCCCTCTGGACTGAGTTCTGTCACCGGATGTTTACGGGCAATGATATAGTCAGATGCAAGAGATCTTGCTAGAAAGCTGATCGCATGCAATCTTGACTGTGCGGTACTGATCTTGGTCCTTGTCTACTATGTCAAGTCCCTACTCAGCTGGAGCTGGAGCTTCTCGAGAAGCTCCTGAGCACTGGTATGGTATCGTACAGTATGATACTACGACGAGAGAACACTCACCGCCCTGTGTTGCTCACCGCCCGTGGGGATGTCCGCAGCATACAATTAATTGATCTCAGTTTCTAGAAGGCTTCCATTGCCTGGGTGGAACCCTTTTGTATACTGCTACAAAACCCAATGTCGCTCCTGCGGGAAGCCGAGAAGTGCTTGGCTAATCAGGGCTCTCATGCGGCTCTAAATGCGCTAATTACCACCCTACATCAGTCAGGACAATGGTTGGAACGTGTGAGAGATGCGGATGCGCGGCGCACCCGGGGTGAGTATGAAGGCTGCATTGAAACCAATCCTCGCTTTATTCAGAGCTGACCAACTCGCTTCGCCAAATAGGGACGCCTAAATCTGAGATAGATGGCCGGTTGGTTGCCGTCAAGGACAATATGTGCACACGCGACCTTCCAACAACATGCGCTTCAAACGCTCTGGACAAATTCGTCAGTCCGTTTAACGCGACAGTCGTTCAACAATTGGAGGATGCAGGCGCTGTCGTGGCCGGGAAAGCTAATCTCGACGAATTTGGAATGGGCTCCCACTCTATTCATTCAAACTTTGGCCCTGTCAGAAGCTCGCGCCGTGGCCAGGATGCAGAATACCTCTCAGCCGGTGGTAGTTCGGGTGGAAGTGCGGTTGCTGTTGCGACAGCCCAATGTTACGCGTATGTAACTCTCCAGATTAGCCTTGAATCATACGACGAGTAACGGTTTGGCTTAACATTGCTGGAACATTTACAGAGCGTTGGGAACTGATACAGGCGGCTCCGTGCGATTACCCGCAGCATATACGGGAACAGTCGGCTTCAAGCCTTCTTATGGGCTGGTCTCTCGCTGGGGAGTGGTTGCGTACGCTAATTCACTGGATACAGTCGGTGTACTGGGAAGGGACGTGGCCAGCGTTCGCCATGTCTTCGGTATGTCTTGATTATGTCGGAATTTCTCTCGTCTCTTTGCGTCTCGACTCACTAACTCGTGTTCGAAACATAGGCGTCGTGAACCAGCATGATTCACGCGATCCCACTAACCTTTCTCCCTCCAGTCGGTCACGGATAGACTCACATCTTAAAATGTCTGCTTTGGCATCTCGGACAAGTTCTCCTCTTAGGATAGGAGTCCCTCTCGAGTACAACATATCAGAGTTGTCTCCATCTGCGCGACATGCGTGGTCTCGCTCTCTGGCCTATTTGCAACGACAGGGCCATAGCATCCAAACGGTGTCCCTTCCAACGACCAAACTCGCCTTATCGGCATATTACGTACTCGCGCCTGCTGAGGCATCCTCAAACCTGGCCAAGTATGATGGCGTCAGGTACGGAAGCCGCCCCGAAGCACCAGACGGAAATGCATCATCAGAAAGGTATCTATATGCGAAAACACGAGGTGATGGGTTCGGCTCCGAAGTCAAAAGACGAATTTTGCTCGGGGCATTTAGCCTAAGCGCTGACGCTATGGATAACTACTTCATTCAAGCACAGCGGGTTCGCCGCCTTGTCCAACATGACTTCAACGCCGCGTTTAGGGCATGCCAGCCATTGATTTCCTCGCAACTTGGATCAAAGTCGGGTTCTGCAGACACCGGTGTAGATGTTCTCATTTGCCCGACAGCGCCATCATCACCACCACGCATTTCAAGCCTTATAGGACCTGATGCGACAACTTCGCCTTTGGAGGCATATACGAATGATGTATTTACTGTGCCTGCTAGTTTGGCAGGTCTTCCGGCTATATCTGTGCCGGTCACTACAGAAAATGCTGATGGCGCCGAGGATGGAGATCTGGCTGGAATCCAAGTAATTGGCCAATACGGTGATGATGAGCTTGTGTTAAAGGTTGCCGAGCTGCTCGAGGGCAGGCACCTATGAAAATTTTTGGTTCCCATAAACGCGGATACCCCAGACCCCGATTATAGATGTCTATATGTATACAGTTCAAAATAAATAAAATAGAGAGATTGTGCGCCATTATCGCCAAGAGGTGTCGCTGTAGTTCGTATAAAAACCTTGCAATTTTGAGCAGGGCTCAGGATTCGGAGCGCAAAAGAGGGGACTATTGCAGACTAGCACATTATGTATATTTGTGCAGAGTTCGAAGTCGTAATATACTGTCTACTAGCCCCGTAATGTGCCTTTGTCACGAGTAGATCATTCCAACACCAACCACCCTGAGGCAAGGCCGGTGTAGTAGACTGGCTTAGGAATCCTAGGCCTAATCACGAAACCAGAGGCCGAGGCGTTGACGGTATGGCGTTCAAGACATTTCAACATCGCCATCCCCAGTTGACGTGTCGGGAATCGTATTCTGGGGTGCTTCTGGAACCGGGGCATCGGCGCGCGTGGCGTCCTCAAGCGCGGCCTGGCCTGGATCTAGGTCCATGACGCTTCCCGCTTCGTTGCCATTGCCAGCGGGATTAGCAGCAGACTCACTCTGGCCGTCCGCAACTGGAGGAATAGCAGACTCATAAGCCGCACTAACACCACCTTTCAACACCTCGGAGCCACCAACTGCCCCAGTTCCAGAGCCATCGATCTTTGCATTGTTGACAACGTTGCCGTCTACTCCGCCCCAGACGCACATTGCCTCAACCTCGTCCACGATATCGGCAACTATATCCTCAACTATTTGTTCGTTGAAGCGTTCGCCGATGCCCCGGACTGGCTCGCCGTTGTCCGTATGAGATGGTGGCCCCACCCACCATGGCCCGTCAAAGCGGCATTCAACCGCCCCTCCGCCGTAGCAGCTGACAGCAGGATAATAACCGATCATTCCGTCATCTGCATTCTCGCGCTCGCCGATGCCCAAGTTGTTTGTGCCATTGGCGAGTCGGCTGGCCGGTGGTAAGAAAGCATACAGTTCTTCAAAAGGAGTGCCCATCTTTACACCGTTCTTGAATATTGTGATGCTTGAACCGGGTAACGTTCGCAAAGATGCATCCTCGGCATTGAACGGAGATGGAGGCCCAAACGTAGGGGTTTCTTTGAGATTGAATGCGTAGTCGCGTAGCTGTTTTGTTGGAAACACGTTCGACTGTTGCCAACAAAAGTCTGATTTGTAGTGGAAAGGAATGCGGTCACGAACTATATTCGTGACTGACGGGGCTTCTGAGCTTGGTGATGAGACCTCGCCATCTGCACTTGACTCATAAGTTCCCTCTACAACTTTCTTGTGGAGAGAGAGTGGCGGAAGGGTGATTAGAAGGCCGACAACGTCGCCCTCACGAATAGATTCGCCTTTTGGAAAAAAGTATTCACACCGCATCCGATTGACGACCTCACCATTCACATCACGGATACCGTAGCCATAACAGTCAACACCAACGTTGGCATCGAGGTCTCCCTCCCTTCGTGCAAAACCAAGACGCACATGCCCCCTGGACGGTAAGCCTCCATTGCTATTAGAAGAGGGAGCAGGCGAATTATTCACAACACCACTGATAATGCGCGCTTCGTAGTAATAGGATCCCTCGCGCGCGCAGACATTGGCTCGTGCCGTATGCCAAGGCTCATTAGAAGTAACTGCGAGAGCGTCCTTACTGAAGAGTATGGCAGCTGGAGAGTCTTCGAAACTAAATCGGGCGTGATAGGGCTGGACATCAGTCTGACGGTATTTGATATGCGGAAAGCTTGGATCAGCTATGGCGTAGCTATAACGAAACCCATTCTTATTGGTGAGCTTATCGACAATCTCAAAAAAGTCCCAGCTCTGACCGATAACGTCTGATGTTTTTCGGTTGACAAAGTTCAGCTGCCGGGGTTGTGGGGGTAACAGATCGGATGAGCGAGGCTCTGCCAACAGGAGAGGCCTTAGTATGCTGAGATCCGAGCTGGGAAGTGCAGTGTTTTGGACAGCAACTGCTCGCTTCTTCGGTGGCATGCTTTCCTGATCCAGACCCTTGGCCTCACGCTTTTTGCGGCTATCACGTTTGGTGCGTTTCGATTTCGATCCATCAGCTTGCGCAGGGGCGTTACTAGTAGGTATGGGAGAAGATCTCGCATTAGAATCGGGAAAGGAACCGGTGAAGAATGGTGTTCCTCCAGGAGGCAAGATCGGAGAGTTCAGGTTAGACGAGGGTGCAGAGGACCCAGCCGGTTGTGTGGAAGCCATTGTTATTTTGACCCAACTAGGGCAATGCTCAGTGTGAGAGCGTATAATCCGGAGTGATATCAGATATGATAGAAGTCAATGTGGAATACTTGTTTGTGGGAGCCCAACACGGTGTAATTTGCGCATATGATTCGGTATCAGCAACGACAGGGAAAGCCAGCTGGATATACTGCAACCACAGCTTTTTCGTATTGAATGTACAGGCCTCGGAGTGAAGCAACTCTATCAAGAGTACTAGAAGCCTTGGTATATGATGAGTGGAGGTGATGTTACAGTATCAAGGGTAACCCGGGGTCGCAATAATGCCTGTGGAAAAAGTCAAAGAAGGTCAGAATCACATGTGAAGCTAGTGAAATCCAGAGCTATCTTTGTATTCTCATCTTTGGGTTCACAGCTGATTCTCCAAGGGATGTTGAAGGTACCATATGTACTATGCCTGAACACCATATAGATAGTTGGAAATGAGGAACGCGGAAGTGGGTTCGGAGTGCCCTGGGACTCACCACAAGGGCTGCTGGTCAACACGACTTTGAACGAGCTCGTTGGATGTATGAAATGGGCCGCAATCAATTTTTGGACAGCTGTATAAGGTCAATTAGTTGTTGGTTGAACTCTCCTTGCAAGCTTCGCGGCCCCTCCTGCATCACATGTCTGTTGTTTATGCGCAAGTTGCATGCGACGAGCGGAAAGTAATCTTGCCGCCGATCTAAGGCGGTGAGCTACAATATTGCCGGCAGGTGTCGAGGGCCAAGTGGTGCCCCGGGATAAGAGGGGCAAAGGCGGTATCATGTATCATCCAATGATATATAGATTTAACAAAGCGGTGAGAATCGACTCCGCTTTGGCGACGCCAAAAAAAAGAGCTCGACAAAAAATTTGAATCACATGACCTGGAAATTTACACACATTTTCGTGGAGGTTGATACCCGAGAGAGAGAGACGATCCACGCTCGCAGTGCCTATCATCCGGTGATTTGGTGGATTTGGTGCTAGCTGGGCCTTTTGGTATCATACAAATCTCGGACTAATATATACACATCCAAAGGGGCACCGTCACCATGCCCAAGGCAACATCCTCTCGCTCCGCCGCCGGCCGCCGGCACAATCCTCTAGCTGAGGATTATATGACTGCTGGTCATCTAAGAACTCAATCGGCCAAAAAGTCCAGTCGCAAGTCTCGTCAGGAAGATGAGCAAGAAGATGGGGAGCGCTTCGTTGATGCGAAGATGTCCCGGAAGATCCTGCAAATCGGACAGGAACTGGCTGATGAGGATGCTGAAGAACAAAGAGCCACAGCAGGCGCCGCTGCTGATAAGACGAACGCAGCCTTTGATTTTGAGTCTCGCCTGGAAGGCGATGAGGCTTTTTCCGATGACGAAAAATTCCAAGACGACCAATGGGACGACGATGAGGAAATTGAGGAAGTCGTATGTCACCGGACTGCACCAAAAATCTATGGGAACCCTTTTTGCTGATATGCCGAGTAGGAGGTTGACCCCGATGACCTTGATATGTTCAACAAGTTCATTCCTGCCGGCGACGAAGACCCGATATTTAACCCCAGTGGGCCCGAGGCCGAAGGTCAGACTAGGAACCTAGCCGATCTCATTCTGGAGAAGATCGCGGAACATGAAGCGAAGCAGGGCGGAGAGAGCGGCGGGCCCTTCATTCAGGGTGGTGGATTACCAGAAGATGCTGTTCAAATACCCGCGAAAGCGGTGGAGGTATATGAAAAGTGAGTATGGATTGCGCCGCGCAGCGATTCACGCAAGGCTAACAGAAAGATTAAAGGGTCGGCATGATACTTTCTCGCTACAAATCTGGACCTCTTCCGAAGCCCTTCAAGATCCTTCCTTCCGTGCCCAACTGGCCCACCCTTCTCGATATTACACGGCCGGAGTCTTGGACGGCCAATGCTGTCTATGCCGGTACCAGAATTTTCATTTCGTCGAAGCCAGCAGTCGCACAGGAGTTCATCTCGACAGTGCTCCTTGACCGTGTCCGGGAGGAAATTCATGAAACCAAGAAGCTCAACGTCCACACCTACAATGCGTTGAAGAAAGCGCTATACAAGCCCGCCTGTTTCTTCAAGGGCCTGCTCTTCCCCTTGGTTTCGAGCGGAACCTGCACACTACGAGAAGCTCACATTGTCTCTTCTGTCATTGCACGTGTCTCTATCCCGGTCTTGCACTCAGCTGCAGCATTACTCCGCATGTGTGATCTCGCTGCTGAACAGTCGTTGCGCTCCCTGGAAAGTACTGGTGCAGTGAATATGTTCATTCGCGTTTTTCTGGAGAAGAAGTATGCGCTTCCCTACAAGGTGATTGACGCCCTCGTTTTCCATTTCCTGCGCTTCCGTGCTACCGACAATGATGCCATGATGACCGATGGATCCCGTGAAGCCAACAAGGTTTACAAGCTTCCTGTCCTTTGGCACCAGTCCCTGTTGGTGTTTGCGCAACGCTACCGCAATGATATCACCGAGGATCAGCGTGAGGCGCTTTTGGATTTGCTTTTGGTTCGTGGACACAAGGATATCGGACCCGAGGTCAGGCGGGAATTGCTTGCAGGCAGAGGACGGGGTGTGGTTGCACCGGATCCGGAGAACCAAGGTGCTATTGATGCCGGTGATGATACGATGGATGTCACGTTATAGACGAAATGATGCGGGACCGCGTTGAGAGTATAAACCGGGGGCCGAGACGAGGTGCCTCCTGGTGACTTCGAAAATTTGCATCTTGCTATGGATTCAATCACGACTCGTGACCGGCATGGGCGTTATCTTTGGGCTATTGATTTGTTACATCCATTTCTTTTGTTTCTTAGGCACATATTATTCCCACGGTTACACATGAGTTTGATAGCTAGCTGCTCTCACTTGATGAGCACAGTAAAAGAAAGAAGATAAGATTCAACCCTACTCTTGGATAGGAAAAGAGGAGAGTTGGAAAGAAAAGGTTGTTAGTCACGTATAACATTGTTCTCATAAGCGCATGCCATAATTCATACACCATCCATTCCTACGTTCCGACGGAGTGCAACAAAGCGCGAAGGGGGCGGCCCCCAACCTGACAGGGCTAGTGCATGTATGACTTCTAGAAGCGTTATTAATTAACGACGGGGATGCTTTTTGCTCCCTCTCCCACACCCCCTCTGTCTCTCAATCAAGTGTCTATATTGCGTCGGAGCTAATATTAATATAACGCCGAAGGGAGACCGTCGGACTTTAATTATTTAGAAATCAGACCATGGGCCTAGTGGTAGATAGTACGTATTCTGTCCTGTGTATGCGCAATAATTTACTCCGTCGAGGGAGACCCCCGTGTTTCTGGTACATTCCACCCGCTAACCCAGTCGGTCAAGGAATGCGGGAAATTCAACAGATAGCAGTTCCAGACTCCAAAGGGAGGTCTCGACGGCCGGTGGCCTCCCTGCGCCCCTCTTGTGGTCTCAACTTGCAATCTTGCGGATCATACTCCGTAGATACTTGGTAGATGATTGCCGCACTTTACTCCATACCACTTTGTGCTAGTCCAATTCCCCACGGTGATTATTCTTCCGATGCTGCCTGTGCCATTTTTATCTCCCGCACTGCCTCTCCTTGAACAACCCCCGCCGATGTCTTACTTCGTCTGGCAATTAAATCCGTAAGCTTAGTAGTATTCTGTCTGCATTACAACTTTGCTTTCTCTCTTTTTTTGTGTGTATAATCTTACTGAATAGACAGTTCCAATAGTAACAAACTGTTTCCGATCGGTAAGGCTTTGTTTTTTTCATTGATGTTATCATTACCATTCAAGTGTGAACGCGTCTGGACTCTCTTATTGTGCACTCCTTTTGAGTGTGGCATCCAGGGCTGGGTTGAAGAGTCTCCAGGGGGCAAAGAGCGTGAGTGGCGTAGTTCATTGGGTGACAGACAAAGTGAATTCGTGGAATTAGATCCACCGTGGCGCCATTCTTAGACTCGGGGAGGGGGGTTCCACCTTGAGAGCGAGACTTGTCGCAGGTAGAGAGGGTTTTGAGACGGAAGGTGTGTAGATGGGGCCAGAAGGGGGCTTTCCACTATTGTGGTAGGGGGAAACACACTTGGGGTTCTCCCTTCGCAGTCCCTCCCTCTCAAGCATGCTTACTGTGTAAAGTTACTGGGAACCACGGTGCTCGGAGTAATTTACCGTACGGTCAATTGGGGCGCAAAGGGGCATATTCACCCAACCGGACGTTGCATAGGGGCGTAATGGGTCTGTAATGGTTACCGGAACTTGGCTGACGACGATGACTCCGCCCCCTTACTTGCAGGGAGGCGGCCTGATCTGACCACGTTGGCCTTTTAAAGAGTCGCTCACTCCCCCAGCTCTCACAGTCGATCAGGAAATCGTCCTCACTCCCATCTTTTTATTGTTCTATGGTTCTTAAGGACACCTGTCCTTCTTGGCCCTATCCTTCTTGTTGTCTGGTACACTTGACCCCAGGCACCACTTGGCCAGGCCTGGCCCCCCCAGCTTCCCCCGTTATGACACGGTGGCCTGTGTTCCTGTGACACGGGCAAGCAGACGTCCTCCACAAGCTGTGTCGACCTACATCACCGTCCTCCCTTGCAGTGCGGTTAAGATAAGGCTCATAGTAAATCGATTGATCCACAATTAAAGATCAATCACCTGTCACGCTTGAAATGATGGAAGAAGCATTCTCTCCAGTCGACTCCCTCGCCGGCTCCCCGACGCCTGAGTTGCCATTGTTGACAGTGTCCCCGGCGGACACGTCGCTTGATGACTCGTCAGTACAGGCAGGGGAGACCAAGGCGGAAGAGAAGAAGCCTGTGAAGAAGAGAAAGTCATGGGGCCAGGAATTGCCAGTCCCGAAGACTAACTTGCCCCCAAGGTAAGACATCTATATCCATAATAGACTATGTATGTATGTACACGATGCTAATTCGACATAAAAGGAAACGGGCCAAGACTGAAGATGAGAAAGAGCAACGTCGTATCGAGCGCGTTCTTCGCAATCGTGCGGCAGCACAAACATCACGCGAGCGCAAGAGGCTCGAAATGGAGAAGTTGGAAAATGAGAAGATTCAGATGGAACAGCAAAACCAGTTCCTTCTGCAACGACTATCCCAGATGGAAGCTGAGAACAATCGCTTAAACCAACAAGTCGCTCAACTATCTGCTGAGGTCCGGGGCTCCCGTGGCAACACTCCCAAGCCCGGCTCCCCCGTCTCAGCTTCTCCTACCCTAACTCCTACCCTATTTAAACAAGAACGCGACGAAATCCCTCTTGAACGGATTCCTTTCCCCACACCCTCTATCACCGACTACTCCCCTACCTTGAGGCCTTCCACTCTGGCTGAGTCCTCCGACGTGACACAACATCCTGCAGCGGTGTTGTGCGACCTGCAGTGTCCGTCGCTGGACTCGAAGGAGAAGGAAGTGCCCTCTCTCTCTTTGACGTCGGCTCAAACCCTGAACCTCACGCTGCCGATGATCTTGCAGCTCCTCTTTCTGACGATGACTTCCACCGCCTATTCAACGTTGATTCACCCGTTGGGTCAGATTCTTCAGTCCTTGAAGACGGGTTCGCCTTTGACGTTCTCGACGGAGGAGATCTATCAGCATTTCCATTTGATTCTATGGTTGATTTCGACCCCGAATCTGTTGGCTTCGAAGGCATCGAGCCGCCCCACGGTCTTCCGGATGAGACTTCTCGCCAGACTTCTAGCGTGCAACCCAGCCTTGGCGCGTCCACTTCGCGATGCGACGGGCAGGGCATTGCAGCTGGCTGTTAGCGAGCAGTTTCGCCAGGGAGATGCATCGGCTGTCGATGGTAACGGAGTCCAATGGAGCTGGGAGTCTTTGTTGACCTTGGCGTGGACGATAGACCTACTCGAACAGCCGGGACGACGCAAACGAATCTTGAGCGGTTTGAAATCAGCGAAAACTGGACGGCGAAGTAATATTGGCAAGTCTCAAAGGAGTACACGGAGTTCATGGAGTTCACGAAGCACCCAAGAGGCGTTGACGTCTCTCCTTATGGGCAAGCATAGTTGAGGTTCCGGCTGTAAATTATCATAAATCCTTATAATTTTATTCTAGATTTCAATACAGCAGTTGATTGTCTGCTCATCATCCTTCTTTCGCTTTTTTGACCGACAGACCATGAGCAGGTTAATTTCAGATCCCGTTGGATTTGCAAGCAGCTGGGTTCTATAGTAGTGTAGTTACCACATCGGTTCTTTAGGCATCAGCGGTGAGACTTTACTACCATTATTGTCAATTGTCGTCGGCATGCAGGTTGGAGTGGCACCTCCGCGCGCAGCGGATACGGCAATCGGGATGACGTTGCCACGCAGTCCCCCGCCCTCCCATCTAGACTGTCTGTCCGATCGGGGCTGGATGTTGCCTCCCGCTCCGTATCTTTTGACCCCAACCTTCCTAACTCTCTCATGCGCCCAAGCCTCACTTTCTGCTTAGATACCCTCTCGCGCCCTCTCCAGTTTCTTTGTCACCATGGTTCGGAAGGATCCTATCTTTGAAGCCCGCACCAATGTCAAGGTAGGCGGTGCCCCATTATTCCCCCTCTCTGCGGCAACGTTTCAGCGTCTGCCCGTTTACGAGCGCACCCTTGGTTTGAATTATCATCAGTTGACTAACGTTATCATTGTCCTGCATTTAGCTACACTCTAATCGACTGAAAAAGGAGGCCGCCCGTGCTGAAGCGACCTTCAAATCCGAGAAGGCCAAGGCTGATAAGGCCATGAAAAACCGCGAATTTCAGATCGCCCGCATTCATGCCGCTTCTGCCGTACGAGAGAAGCGCAGACAGGTGACCCTCAAGGCGGAGGCTGCCCGAGCAGATGTCATCATCAACGAGCTCAAGGCTGCGCAGAGCACTCGGGACACATCTCGAACACTAGCGTTGGCATCACGGGGCTTGGATGCTGCTTCCAAGAGTGTAAATCTTGAGAGCTTGGTTTCCCATGCGAACAATTTCCTGGCGCGCTCTGAAGATTTCAAGATTGCTAGCAGTGCGATCGAGGATGTTGCACAAGGGGTCTCTTTGCAGGAGAATGGCGCAGAGGGTGAAGCCGATGTGGATCGCTTGATGGAGCAACTTGCTGATGACGCTGGGGTGGATCTCCGGATGGCTTTGGAGCAGGATGCTGCTGCTGCTCCTAAGGAGGAGGTAAAGGCTCCTAAACAGGTCGACACTGAACTTGAGGATGGGTTGGATGCTAGGCTACGCGCTCTCAGGGCAACCAACTGAATTTCACCTACTTCGTTTCTATTGTCTTCTAGTGTCACGTTCACTTTGGCATTATCTGTTGATATTCTTTCGGTTTCGGCGAACGATAGGAGTAACTAACAGCGCGTTGGGTATATGCTGGGTCGAGGTCTAGTTGCTTTACATGATTTGTTGGTCCTCGCAATCTCTTTCATTACATCCCTGTGAAAATCGCACTTGCTGCATACATCCATAGCCATGCATTTGAAGGATATCCAATGGTCAATCTTACAGGAGAGACGCACTTTTTCTCTGCACAGACACTGTTCGCGTGGTCTATATACCGGCTTCACCTATATTGTCATTTTGGCCTCTCTCTCGAACTGGTACGTTCTCTTAGTTACGTGCTCTATATTCTGTCCATCAATGATTATGGGGGCATGGCTATAAAGAGATTACATGCCTGAGACATATGACGTTTAATTCATATTCCATACGCTCATCTCGGGAGACTATCGTCGATATTAGGCAAGTTTTTCTGAACGTAGTGACACAGACAATTTGTATTAATACGGCATCTTGTCTAGCTGTGTAGTGAAGAATTCTCAATAGGCGCAACATGATACTTATTACCCCTTCGTAGCTGTCTTAGGCTGATAGAGCTTAAATTAAAGGCCCTCTTCAACGAGCAAGCCCGGCTAGCTCAATCGGTAGAGCGTGAGACTCTTAATCTCAAGGCTGCGGGTTCGAGCCCCGCGTTGGGCTTTCTTTTTCTTTTTTTTCCCATCGCAAAGTCAGTCTGTCAGTCAACTCACCACCACCCGGCTAACAAACATAACTTAATCTTCCTTTTCCTTCTCCCGCCCGTCTTTTGCTAGGCCTGTACCTTGTGCTGCCGATCTAGTCGACCTTTCGTAGGTATCATTTTACAGTGCTAGCATAGCTGAGACGCTTTTCCGAAGCCACGGCCGTTGCCTTCCGGATGTTGTTCCGCCGCTGTCTATAAATGCTGCGTACAATATGTTTCCGTGATCGTCAACCATCAGCCACTGAAAACAACTTTTGATGACTCGGTATGTTTCCTAGGTCCAGCCACGAACGCCGCGACAGCGAAAAAGATATAGCTGAAAAATACAAGGCTGCATGAACTAACTCTCGTAACAGGCAATGGATAGTTCCGCTGCGTTGGATCCCAACAAAGCATCTCATGGTCGACAAGCCGCCTGCTTGAACTGTARGAAAAGCAAGGTCCGCTGCAACCGAGGCCAAGATGATGCGTCGTGTAGCAGATGCAAACAGGCCAATGTTGAATGCATCATACCCAGCCACCATGTCGGTAGACAGAAAGGGGTCAAAAAGTACGCGCTAAACGCATTGATCTTCCGAGGACCCCAAGCTGACATGGTGAAAACCAGCAAACGCAAAGGCCTTGAAAAAGCATTACATCAGATTGAACAGGCCATCAAGAGACCGAGAAGCAATGCATCCGGGTCCGAGGCGGCCCAAAAGCTCATATCAGACCTTCAAGAGATGCTCAGCAATACACGAGAACAGCAGTTACACAGTGAGGCAGACGACCAGTCCGAGGATCGGTCCTATACATACCATTCGCCCCGGGATAACAATTTCGGCGATAATCTCTCCCTAGATGATGCAGAGAATCCTTTACAACTACTTGCACGTGCCTCCGATCTACAGCTATCGCCGAATGAGGCTCGTGATGCACACAGATGGCCACCTTCAACATTTCCCCAACCTACAGGCATGCTGCCGAGTAGCACCGAGGGAAGCGACCCTGCCGCGCAATCATATTTTGTTCCCATCCGGGCAAATCTGGATGTTGGCCCAGATATAGACCCCATTGACATTGGTCTTGTGACTCCGAGTGAAGCCGAATCGCTTTTCTCTTTGTATGTCCAATGTTGCGTACTTAGATTCGTGGCTACCTGGCTTACCATTGATGCTAGCTTTTATCAGAACCTCGCACATACTCGATGGGGCCTAGACCCTCTGGTACACACCGTCTCGTTTGTGCGGACCCAGTCTGCATTTCTATTCACCTCTATCATGGCCGCGGCTGCATTGTTCCTGCCATCTGCTACAGCACTGTCGAAGCGGCTTTCTCGACATTGCAAGTCCCTGGCCCATAATGTCATTGCCCGACGCCACAGATCGGTTGAGATCGTCTTAGCCTTCATGGTAAATGTTCCATGGATGGAGCCAGGTAGTTGCCTGGGGGATGACGATACATGTTCCTACATTGCCATGGCTCTAGCTGTTGCTTTAGATCTCTCGTTGAACAAGATTGTGCTTCCATCAACTAGCTTCGAGCATAGCCTTCTCAGAAGACTCGCTAAGGCCGAAACTATCGATGCAAAGAGAGCCCTATACATGGACCGATTTGATGGCATAGAACCGAACTCTGCATGGGGCCGAAGACTTCTCCGAAGGCGAGAGAGAACGTGGATAGCGCTGTTTGTTCTCGAAAGAGGGTAGGCATATCACCAGAAGCTCTGCTATTGCCTGTCTAACTTCATCTTGCAGTGTATGTTTAGCTCGCGGGCGAAGCTATACAGTCCCTTCAACAGCCCTTATAAACTATTGTGATAAGTGGCATGTATCCGATTTTGCAGACTCACGTGATGGGCCGATGAATTCAATGGCTGTGCTCAGGAGGAATTTGGTAAGTACACTGGCGGTCTCATGCGTACGGAAGGACCTTTCTGACGGGAGCGTACAGGATGGCCTTTTCCTGAGAGTAAAAGCCAACTGCGACAGCCACCAGGTCGCAGATGCCGGGTCTGAGGTAGCGCAATCGTACGTGTGCATCCCACAAGTTGTTGACACGCGAATACTCACGCTGTCCCTAGGATCAAGAATATGATTGAAAGCTTCTACGACAAGTGGTATGAGATATGGGCGCCTGAGATTGGGGAAGGTCACTGTAAGTCCCTTGTAGAGGTGCAACAGGCTCGCATTAACCATTGTACATCCGGCTAACCTACACCAAGCACGCTCCCTTCCACCCTATGTTGAAATCCTTGTAACACATACGAGGCTATCGACATATGGTGGTGTTATCAACCATCCTACAGCACCTTTGGAAGTCAAGAGATTCTTTCGTGCTGCCGGCCTTTCTTCTGCACTGAACGTTCTGAGAGCAGCTATACAAGGAGAGTCGCGATTGAAATCCATGCCGAATAACACTGTCATCATGATATCCTTTGCTGCATGCTCAGCACTTAGTCTCAGCGTGATGCCAGAAGACAGCAGGTCGAGTTTGGCGCCAAGTGTTCATAATTTGATCGAGGAAACTGCAGGTGTCCTTGAGCGTATTGGAGCTACTACCCGCCATAGAAATGGCGCCTCTGTTCTCTATGGGCGCTTCCTGAGAGCGCTTGTCAGACGCGCTCCTGTAAGCGCAGGCTCTCAGAACCTGAAGGTCGAAACGGGGCCGCTACAACCTCCGCCAGACTTGGATGGGTATTGCCCGGTGGCTTCCGGGACACAGCCATCCTCGATACCGACCTCTTTTATTTGGCCTGAACCACTCAGATTTTCTGCTATGTCTGATGACCAGATCATAGACGCAGTGAACCGAGCTGGCACCGCATTTGGGACATCTGTGCCCGATGTTCCACTGGATGACCTAATGACTTGGGACTGGTTCGATGTCGGAAATGCGGCAGATTTTGGCTTCTGAATGGAGGGGAGCAGATCGGTGGCTACGCGGATCGAGAAATGATCTCATTTCTGGTTCCGAGCCGAAAGGTCCTGGGAGCTCGGCCGCTCGGCGACTAGAAGTAGCGCCGAGTTCCGAGGGGCGCCGTTCTCAGCTTCCCATATTAACCAGCCTGGTTTCCTGCTTTTCATGGCTTAGTAGCCTCTGCAACATTTTTCAATCGCGATTAATTCATCCTATAGCCACGAGGAAAATGGCAACCATTCGATTATCCGCGTTGGTCTTGTCACGAAGGTTGATTGTTCGTCCGCAATGCTATCGACGGTCGCAACTTTCTCCGAGCCTGTATGCGCCTCTCGCTACTAGTATCGGTAGCCGGGCCAGATACTCAACTTCTACACACGAGCAAGCTCCGCGGGCCCCGAAGATTGACCGTGCCGCTTCAAAGTTGTTCAAGGATGCGGATGCGGCCGTGGCAGATCTGAAGAGCGGGTCAATCATTCTTAGTTCAGGCTTTGGCCTATGTGGTGTCGCAGGTAAAGATATTCTTGGTATTGCCAGATAATACTACCAGTTTATTAACCCATGAATCTATTGCAGAAACATTGATCTCTGCGATACACCGCAGAGGGGCAGACAACTTGCACTCCTTGACGGCGGTTTCGAACAATGCTGGTCTCGCCGGGAAGGGCGGGCTGTCTACCCTAACGCAAGCGGGACAGGTCAATAGACTGATACTTTCCTACCTGGGAAACAACAAAGCTCTGGAGAAGAAATACTTGACGGGAAATATTGCCATCGAACTGTGTCCGCAAGGCAGTCTGGCCGAGCGACTACGTGCTGGAGGAGCTGGGATCCCCGCATTTTATACCCCCACGGGAGTTCGTGAGTTTTAGAGTTCTTGATCGCTAATGGATACATGATGTATCTTACTGACTTGTTCTTGGCAGACACTCTGCTTCAGAAGGGAGAGATTCCGGTGCGTGTAGACGAATCCGGGAAGGTGCTCGAGCGTGGCAAGCCCCGCGAGACAAGAGAGTTTAATGGCAAAACTTATATGATGGAGACTGCGCTCAATGGGGATGTGGCGATTCTCAGAGCGTGGAAGGTAGACGCTGCAGGAAATTGTGTTTTCCGGTAGGCAATTCTCGACGCTCTTTTATGTACGTTGGAATGCTAATGATGTGACATAGTTACACTACGAAGGCGTTCGGCCCCATCATGGCGAAGGCAGCAGCCCTTACTATTGTGGAAGCCGAGAACATTGTTCCCGTTGGCTCAATCGACCCTAACGATGTTGATCTACCGGGAATCTTCGTTGATAGAATCGTCCCCGCAACCGATGAAAAGCATATCGAAATCAAGAAATTGCGGTCTGACAAGGGTGACGATGCAAACAAAAAGGCAGAGGACGCTGCGACTGTCCTACGGAACCGAATCGCTAAGCGGGCTGCTCGGGAACTCAAGCAGGGTTACTATGTTAACCTCGGAGTTGGTAAGGTAGTCCCTTAAGTCATAAATGCTGCTCGATATTAATGACTTCCCAGGTATTCCCACACTTGCCCCCTCGTTTCTGCCCGAAGATGTGAAGGTTTGGATCCAATCTGAGAACGGTATCCTGGGCATGGTAAGCCAATAATTCCCGAAAGCAATATGGGAAAGGAAATTGACATATTTTCAAGGGCCCTTATCCGACAGAAGAGGAAGTTGATGCGTAAGTGTCCCTATGTCACTGGCCAGTTATCATTGATGTCTTGGGGCACTGGCTTACTCCAATCCAACAGGGATATCATCAATGCCGGCAAAGAGACTGTCACACTGGTCCCAGGCGCTGCCACTTTTGATAGCAGTGAGTCATTTGGGATGATCCGCGGCGGACATGTAGATGTTTCAATCTTGGGAGTACGTGATAAACCCTGTTCATGATCGGCAACCGGGTGACGGAAGCTGACTGGTCGAACAACACAGGCTTTGCAGGTCAGCGCGAACGGCGACCTGGCGAACTACATGATTCCCGGTAAGGTGTTCAAGGGAATGGGAGGAGCCATGGACTTGATCTCCAACCCCGAGAAGACCAAGATTGTGGTTGCCACCAGCCACACCGCCAAGGATGGATCACCGAAGATTGTGGACCAATGCAGCCTTCCTTTGACTGGCGCCAACTGTGTCAGCACGATTATCACCGAACTGGTAAGTGGGAAAGGTGCCCTAGCAGATGACGGCAATCAGTAAGAATTGCAGAAAGGAAAGAATGAACTAACAGCAGGCTATAGTGCGTCTTCCAGGTCGACCGGACCAAGGGTGAGCTTCTCTTGACGGAACTGGCTCCGGGTGTGGAGGTCGAGGAGATTCAGGACAAGACTGGGGCGAAGTTTTCGGTTGCGGAAAACCTGGAGATCATGGAATGAGTCGAGGCTGGATGTATATATAATGGACCCCTTTTTACCTCTTCCCTGTAAATTTGCCTCTCGATTTTCTGAGTCGTCGCAGGTCTTCATCATCTTGATCTATACTATATAGCCAGGCAATGAACCACACCCATGATAGATTGATAGATTAATGATAACTTAACTCTCGGCCGCGCCGGCCACCCCTACCTGACCACCCAACTCGAGCAGAAATGAAGCTATCCAAATAACAATTTAATCAATAAAGTCCGCGTGCATATTATTACTTATAATAGAGTTTCGAATACTGAATTTCTCTTATGACAATTGGTTGTATGGCACTTACTGCAGCAGGAAGATATACACGTAGATGATTAAGATTCTGTCTTCTCTACCTGGGCCTCCTCTAGCTACTGTATTTTGTCTCTTACTTCCTGGGTTAAATTATCTCCTTTAAAGACTAGCTGCTGCTTTAATTGCTTCTTCTTTTAGAGCTACTTTTTATGCACAGCGCGTAGATCCCAGTTCTTCTTTAGTAGAACACTGTACCATGTCCTGCAAAGAAGATTAGAAGAATGCTCCACATTGATCTAATAATAAGATCTATTATATAAGGTATTCCTTTTCATTAAAAATCGATTTCTGAGCGCTATTTGGAGTTTCTTGAACAAATAGAGTACCGCGTAGTTAATTCTATCAAGTAGGATTGCAGCATAGATATCATGTTTGCAATTTCACTTCCAGAAGAACATTTGGAATCGCGGTGCCATTTGCCGGCATGGAATAAGTGAAGTTCCAGAACCTAAAATCACTATGGAACTGGTTAGCTTATGGTCACTGAACAGGACGCTGGAGGCTCTACTTAATGACTTGGTCGCTCAAGCTATACGAGATGTTCAGCGTCGTTGGGTCCATATTCCCCGACACAGTGACATTCAGGCCGACAATGTCCTGCCAGCCAGCCACATTCTTCTGGGTTTCAAAAGGAGATACCAGGAACTGAAACTGGGACGCCGACGTCCCACGCGGATAGGTCAGGTTCAGATAGCCGGGTCCAACTTCAGCGTTGAGAGCCTCCTCCGTCGCATACAGCTGTGAGATGTTAGCCATAACCTTGGATCAGCATCGGTGTCCTAGGTCAACTCACTGTTATCCACCCTATTCCAGCTCCAGTATCCCACTGAATGACAGCCGGGTTAAACTGCGATGGATTGATGGCTGGGCCACCTACAACAGACTCATTGAAGGTCTCCGCTCCAATGCTAATGCCTTCACTCAGCCACGCAGCCACCTGCCGTGGGAAGGAGTCATATGGAATAGAGTACGCGGATGTGTTGACCATATGCTCACCGGGGAAGGTTTTCAGGGCTTGGATGGCCGTTGACGGGACAAGCGAATTGTGAAAGTTTGACAGGATAGCGATCAGAGGCGAGATGGAGAAGTCGGAGTTGTGAGACATCATATACACCTGTATGTATCAGTTGTTAGCACCAGAAAAACACTAATGATCATTCTCCCTTCTCCTCACCTTATCAATAACAGGAGAAGTTTCTTTCCCCACCAGCGACCAAATATGCCCCGACATGATACCAAAGTACTTTTGCATATCAAACCCATAAGCCCGATCCCAGGGACCAGCAAGGTTTTTCAACCCAGCATGATACAATTCCCCGATAGTATCCCAAGTATCCTGCAACATCTCCTTCCCTTTCCCCTTCATGACCGAGTCTTCTGCAGCATACTTAGCCCACATAGTCAGCGCGATCAGAGAAACACCCGTATAAGTGGCACTGTTAAACTCCGAAAGCGTATCTGCGCGATCGAAGAGCCGGATGATCTCCGTTGCGTATGTCTCGCCCGAATTGGTCATATTCTGATCTCCAAGCTTGCGTCCCGTCCAGCCTGTGATGATGGCACGCATTAAGGACTGCGCAGCTAGTCAGTTAACTCACACTCAGTGGTACCAAGAGTCTGAGCCCTCACGCACCGGGTTCGTATACGACGGATATAGATTATCATCGTCCACCCCACCGACCCGATAACTATCCCCAACAGTGTCATTGTAAAGCGACGCATGCATCAGCTGCGTCATATCCGCATCTATCAGATGTGGGAACTCCTCAAGCGCAATGATGAAGGCCGTCCCAATGAACTCTCTCCAATTCGGATCCCAGGTATCATAGATAATGGGTGGGTAAGCTGAGGTTCCCACTGTAGGTTCTTCGGGGAACTGCTGGTAATCACCGTACCTGTGAGTGAGCATAGACCGGTGAGTCAGTTCTGATCAAAGGGAGGGAATGTCCTCTCCAATTGTGTCAACCACCCACCATTGATCACTTGTATCCTTGAACTGCGCATCTATCACGTTTCGAATGATAGTCATCGCCTGAGCTACATCATCGCCCTGATCCCGAGCCAACAACCCCACAGCATACCACACAGACGTCCTTGTATCGTGACGCAGCGCCGTTGCAGCACTCGGGTCATAGACGTAGCCCGCGGAGGCATCGTATATTCTATCAAGGTATTCCATGGACTCTGTGAATAGCTGGCATGTATCTGTTGACCAGGATGTCTGGCACCAGCTATTACTATTGCTAGTACTGGTACTAGCTGATGCCACCAGGGTGGATCCGGCGAGAGCGAGCACGAATGCTCTCAGATACCGCGACATTTTCCTAGCAACAACAGGCGAAACACAAGATTGAGCTAATTCTTCACAAAGTCCAAACGAGCAGCGGGAACAGGGGCAATCGGTTCTTTTTATCTACCTTTTATCCATCACACACTAACTAGTAGTAGTATCTGTGTATCTACATCATCGCTCTCCATTTGCGGGGGAAAGACAGCACAGCCGGTGCCCATTATTGGTGCAAGTTCTTTCCCCCCCTCTCCCTCTCTCTCTCTGTGGGGTTCGGGTTTATCGCAAGTTGTTGTCGTGGGTCTTTAGCCGGACTGGATGGACTGACTTTTCTATACCGAATAGTAATCGGGTTGGGATCGGCCGAAATGCGGGGTTGCAAGCGAGCTGGCATTTATTGATCCCAGTCCTATCTTTCCTTCTGTCTATCTATCTATCTATTTATCTATCTTTCCGGACTATCTGTGGATTCACCGAGAGGAGAAGGTATGGATGTATGTATGCATATACCCCTCAGTTGTACAATAATAGATAGGGTTATTAGCTTGTTCCATGCCCTTTTCGTCGGCTATGTCATTTAGATAGTAGTACAACCTCTGAAGATGGGGGTTTTCTTTGGAGTAGACAGTCTAAGCGTCCACCTTAGCTTGCCTGCAGTATAACGTAACTCCCGCCCGCGCCGGGGCCACCCAGCTGCGACGGGGTCAGAATTGAGTACAACAGTGTCAGAACAGAGCTGGAAAAATAGTTCAGTCAGAGTCAGAAATTCTGACTCTGAATAATCTCCCACAACTATTCTTTACTGTTATCTGAAGCTATTCTCAACTAACAAACATGCCACCAAACCAGTCTAAAAGGATAAAAGATACAGCGGAGCAAGAAGACAGGATTCTATTTACTATCAAGGCTTTAAAGAAGCATCAAATCTGTTTATTCGTGATGCTGTATATATTTTTAATATTCTGTGTTTTACTCTTTTGGTTCAATCCGGTCCAATCCAATTCACATCCTTATACCTGATCGAGCCCGCTAAGTAAGATGCTTGCAGGTGCTTCGCTGTTTGAAGCAAGAATATGGCCCAGAAACGCCGTCAAATCCTTCAAACTCGCGTAACCCCTTGAAACAACGCAAGCCACGAAGTAGGAAGTCGTCGCCGTAGCCAACCACAACCAGGTATACAATAAAAGCAAAGCAAAGCGTAGTCATACACAAGGTACTAACGTAACTCCCGGCCGCACCGGCCACCCAGTACACCGCCCAACGCGTTTCTACATGCAACCACTCTTTTGTTGAAAGGCTCTGAATTAGCAATGAGTAGTACGATGGTTCTAGGGCGG